CACCAGCCTGTGGGGGGGCCATGCGCCCCTGCCCCAGGCCACCCACGCACACACACAAGACACACTACCTCCTGCCCTACAGCTGGCAACGAGGAGACGTTCTCCCCGTGGGTCACAGCTTTCTGACAGAGCAATTGGATTTAGTGCACCGAGGAGGCTGCAGGGGGGTGGGGGGGTTATGCACCATGAAAAGACACATTTAAAACCCAGCAGCTGGCACATGCTCATGCCCCACAGCCTAGAGGAGATGCTGACACCGAAACACTTTGAGCTGAGCTGTTTATTAGGGTAAATCAGGGGGCTACAGAGACACCACCACCCCCCCCCGCCCCGAGGTGGGAATGGAGAGGTGGGGAGGACCCCTCCAGCCCCCGTGCTGGGCAGGGGGGCAGAGCCAGAGTATAATACAAGCAGGGGCTGGTACCTGCTTGGGGAGGCAGAGATTCCCAGAGGGTCGCAGGGTCCTGGCGGCAGCAGGGATGCCCGGTGCGAGGGTGTCTCCCTGGTGCTGTTGCTTCTGCAGCCACTTGACGCGGGCATCTATGGCCACAAAGTTGTCCTCTACGACAGCCAGGTTTTCCTTCATTGTCTGCTGGACCTGGGGGAGGCGAGTGGGGAAGGGGGTGAGCGGTGGGGGCAGGAAGGGGATCCCACTCCAGCCCAGTGGGTGTTGGTGGGACCCACCTCTGCCAGCAGCGTGGTGTTGTCCTTGAGAGCACCAGCTATCTCCTGCTGTGTGGTGTCCAAGTGCATGAGGAGCTGCCCAAACTGTGTGGCTGGGAGGGAGAAGATTGCTCAGTGCAGGAGGCAGGGAGCAGAGCCACCACCCCCCCAAGATGCTCCCAGTGGCACCATGCCACTGTCCCCAACATCCCCTCAGCCCCTCACCTTGCTCTTGCAGGTCCCTGAGGGTCACCAGCCTCTGCGCAACGTCAGGCAAGGTGCTGGCCACGGGGTCCCAGTGCTGCATTGTCTCATAGATCTGGTGGATCTGGTGGATGGGCCAGGTCAAGAAGTTGGGGGTAAGCACAGTCTGGAAGGGGGGCTCCGAATATCCCCCGCTGTGCTGGGCTTGCCTTTGGGGCTTGCCTCCCCTCCAGCTCCTATCTTGCTCTGGGTGTCAGCATCTTGCACAGTTGCTTTGTGCTCGGCAATTTCATTCATCTTCCCCAGGACGCTCTGGGAAAGGGGAAGCAGATGCGAGATCCCAAATCCAGCACTGCCCACCCCCAGTTTCGTGACCTTGGCCACTGCTGTCCTGTGGCTCTCCTGTGGAGCCCTGACACCCACCATGCAGTTCCCTCCTTCTGCCCCCGCCTCACCTGCAGCCAGGCCCCCACTTGGTCCAGCACGGCCACATCCAGGATGTTCACCTTGGCCTGCAGGACCTGCACGGTCTCCTGGGGATGGAAAGCAGGGTGAGGGGGGACACGGCAGCACCCAGGGGCTGGCCTCCCAAGTGCTATGGGTACCGGGTGGGGGAAAGGGACCCTGCACACCCCCAGCCCCTGCCTGACTCACCACGAGGCTGGTGCCCTTCAGCCCCACAAACAGCGGGTTCTGTGGGGAAGGAAACTGCATTAGTGGGGCAGGAGAGTGGCAGGGCAGGCACCCCTGGCCCCTCACCTGGCTGTCGGGCTCGCACCGCACCATCGCCTCCAGCTGCGCCAGCCGCTTCTCCAGCTCTGTGATCTGGGGGGAGGTGAGGGGGTGAGATGGCAGGACACCCCATTTTGGGGTCAGGCGCAGTGTCCCCCCCTCATGCTCACCTTGGCAGTCTGGGCAAAGTGGTCCTGCTCCGGTTGCCAGTACAGCTCAAGGGTGACAGCGTCTCCAGTGGGCACCGGGGCTTTGTCAGGGGTCTTCCCTGCTGCCACCTTGCTGCACCTCACCACCTCCAGCTGCTGCAGCAGGCGCCTGGGCAGGGGGCAAAGGTGGGCACAGGGCCCCAGCACCACCCCATGGGGATGCTGCCATTCTCCCTCAACTCCCCTAGCTGCGGCCCCAAGGTCCTGGGACCCCACTCACTTGGCCAGGGCACTTTCGGGATCTGCAAAGTCTATGGCTGCAGCAGGGCCCAGCAGCTTCTCCAGGTGGCTGGAGACCAGCTGCTGCTTCAGGCCCTCGACCTGCCTGGCCAAGGCCACGGGCGTCAGCTCCTCCTTCGCCACCTCCTTCACCGTGCTCTGTCGGGGGGAAGAAAGGTGGCTGTGTCACCCCCCCCGGGACAGCCTCCCCACCGGTCCCCAGGGGAGGGGTGATGCTCACCTGGATCTGCTCCACCTCCCTAACCAGCTCCTGCACCTCGTGCTGCAGCCGCTGGTACCGCTGCTGGGGCGTCTCTTTGGCACCAAGACCCTCACCAAGCTGCAGAGAGAGGAACAGGGGGGTCAGGCGGGGGCTCACGGCCTGCCCACGCACCAGGCACCCAGGGCAGGAGGTGGTGGGTAGGATGCTGGTACCCAACTCCCCTCAGTGCCTGCCCATACCTGCGCAGAAAGGCAAGAAAAGGGATTGACCGGGGAGGACAAGCGGGTGAGGCCCTTGATGGACAGGTAGGAGCAGCCTCGTGTTCAGAGGAACCTGGTCCTCATAAGGGACTTCAGAGAGACCTGCTGGACGGACAACACAGCAGGACATGAGCAGCCCAGGAGGCTCCTAAGGGCACTGACGACAATGGCCTCCTCCAAGTAACACAGGAGCCTATGAGAGGGGCTCTGCTGGTGCTCATCTTCACCAACAAGGAGGGGCTTGTTGGGGATGTGGACGTCAAAGGTAGCCTGGGCAGCAGTGACCACCAGGATGCTGAGGGCAGGAAAGAGGGGGCTTACAGCCCTGGGCTTCAGGAGAGCAGACTCTGGCCTCTTCAAAGGTCTGCTTGGAAGAGTCCCCTGGGATCAGGCAATGGAGGGAAGAGGGGCCTAACAAAGCTGATTGATATTCAGGGATCATCTCCTCCAAGCTCCAGAGCGCTCCGTCCCAACGGGTGGGCTGTTGGGCAAAAAAGCCAGGAGGCTGGCTGGGTGAACAGGAGCTCCTGCCAAACTCAGATACAGAAAGGAAGAAGGTAGAAGCTGGAGCAGGGACAGGGAACCTGGGAGGAGGAGAGACGTTGCCCGAGAGGCCAGGGACAAGGTTACGAAAGCCAAAGCCCAGCTGGAACTCAGCCTGGCCAGGGACACCAGACATGGGACAAGCTGAGGCACTGAAGGCCACCTTCGCCTCTGTCTCGACCAGCCATCAGGAATCCCCAGTGACAGTGGCTGGGGAAAGGCTGGCACAAGGCAGATGTACCCTTGGTGGAAGAGGATCAGCTCAGGGAATGCTTAAGGAAATGGGACAGACAGAAGTGCATGGACACATGGGTGGGATGCACCTGCAAGGGCTGAGGGAACTGGCTGATGGCATTGCAAGGCCACTCTCGATAATCTTTCATGGGTCACAGTGACTGGGAGAATTGCCAGAGGACAGGCAGGAAGCAAATGTCAACCCCACCTTCAAGCAGGGCAAGAAGGAAGACCCAGGGAACCACAGGCCAGTCAGCCTCACCTTCTTCCCTCGGAACGCAATGGAGCAGCTACTCCTGGAAACCCTTTCCAGAGACATGAATGACAGAAAAAACATGAAAAGCAAGCAGCATGGCTTCACCAAGGGGAAGTCATGCTCCACCAACTTGATCAACTTCTCCAATGAAGTGACCAGCCTGGTAGACAAGGAAAGAGCAGTGGGTATTGTCTACCAGGACCTCAGGAAAGCCCTTGACACCATCTCCCATAAGATCCTCCAAGAGAAGGTGTTGCAGTCTGGGCTGGATGAGCAGGCAGTGAGGTGGATTGAAACTGCCCCAACAGCAAAGCCCATCGGGTGATGATCGTCAGCCCAAAGTCTAGTTGGAGGCCAGTACAACCAGTGTGCCCCAGGGGTCAATGCTGGGTCTGATCCTCTTTAACATCTTCATTAATGATTGGGATGATGGGGCAGGGTGAACCCTCACTAGGTTTGCAGATGACGCCACACTGGGAGGAGTGGCTGAGATGCCAGAGGGTCACGCTGCCGTCCAGAGGGACCTGTGACAGGCTGGAGAGATGGGCAAACAGGAACCTCATGGAGCTCAACAAGGAGAAGTCCTGCTGCTGGGGAAGAACAGCCCCCGGCATCAGTCTATGCTGGGGGCCACCCAGCTGGAAAGCAGCTCTCTGGAAAAGGCTCCAGGGGTCCCAGTGGACACCAAGCTAAACATGATCCAGCAAGGAAGGCTAACGCTGTCCTGGGCAGTGTTAGGAGTGTTGTGGTCGAGGGAGGTGAGCCTTCCCCTCTCCTCAGCACTGCTGAGGCCACACCTGGACTGCTGTGTCCAGTGCTGGGCTCCCCAGTACAGAAGAGAGAGAGATGGACATACTGGAGAGAGTCCAACAAAGGGCCACAAAGATGCTGACAGGGCTGGAGCATCTCTCCTATGAGGAAAGGCTGAGAGAGCTGGGACTGTTCAGCCTGGACAAGAGAAGGCTCTCAGGGATCTTATCAATACCTGAATGGAGGGTGCCAAGAGGACAGAGCCCAGCTCTTCTCAGTGGTGCCCAGTGCCAGGACCAGAGGCCATGGGCACAAACTGAAGCGCAGGAGGTTCCCCCCGAACATTAGGAAGCACTTTTTTACTGTGAGCGCGACCAAGCACTGGCACAGGTTGCCCAGAGAGACGGTGGAGTCTCCATCCTTGATATTCGGAAGCTACCTGCACATGGTCTTGGGCAACTGGCTCTAAGTGGCCCTGCCTGAGCATGAGCGTTGGACCAGATGGTCCAACTTCCCACCACCACCCTTCTGTAATGCTGTGTGATCTGTGGCCCTGGGCAGGGACATCACTGTGGGGCGAGTGGGGACGAGGGGCTGTGCACTGGGGTGGCTCACATCCCCTTGTGCTCTGGACTCACAATTTCATACTCCCCAGACTTGTAGCCCGTTGTCCTGGGCTTGCTGATGCAAGCGGAGAAATCTGGAAGAGGGAGGAGCAGGGTGTCACCCCAAAACACCTGGGGTGGCTGTGCCCTCCCTGGGGTCAGCTCAGGATCCCCACAGCCCACCCTTCCCTGAACCCCCTGGCTCACCCACTCCCTCGGTGCTCAGGCGCTTGTCCCGGAACTTCTCGTATGCGGCGTTGGGATTAATGATGATGTGCTCCACGCTGGTGCTGGTGAGCTCCTCCTGCACACAACGCTCAGCGTTAGGGATGAGGCAGTTGCGAGGGTTTGTTGGCAAAGCCGCCTCCCTGCAGCACTGGCGGCCGTCTGGGGCCGGCGCTGGGGAGAGGATGGAAAGTAACAGAGGGGGCGAAGGTGGCCCCGTCCTCCCCAGGACAGGAGCACAGCCCCCAGGGACTGACATGCAGCAATGGAAGCCAGCAAAGGATCCCCCAACCTGCTGCCCTGGGCCACAGCAGCCCCTCTCCAGCCCTTGTGCCCCATCATGGCCTGAAGCGCTTTCGGGGAGCCCTAGTGTGCTGCAGATGGACAAGAAGGGGTGAAAGCAGCGGGAGCAGCATTAGGGGGGGCTGTCTGGCTGAGGGGAGGCAGGAGCGAGCACCCGTGAGCAGAGCACAGGGTTACGTTGGCCGACAGACGGGCTCTTACCAGCTCCTTGCGTTTCCCAGAGGTGAGAAAGCCAGAGCAAGGTTAGGAGAGGGGAGAGAGAGAGACAAAAATCACGTTAGAAGGTTTGTCCCACGCACAGCCCGCCATCTCCCACATCCCTCTGCCAAGGCTGCTGCTGGGCTGGCCCCACGTGAGGGCTCAGCAGCCACATGGGACACAGGACCGCCAGTGTGGAAATGAGGGCAGTGGCGGGGGCAGTGGCTGCAAGAGCAGGGGCAGCGGTGGGCTGGACCCCTTGGCTGGGTGCCCCAGGGCAGCCAGGGCTGGGGACAGCCAGGGACACACTGGTCACGGCCACCATGAGGGGTGCTCAAGGTACCCAGAGAAAGTGTGGGAGCAGGGGGCAGCCAGAGCCCGGGGACAACGCAGCTGAGTCCCCATTCTGCTAACCTCCCTCCAGCTCCAGCTCTTCTTTTCCCCTGGGGGCGATGTGGGCAGAGCCCAGGGCAGGATGGGCCCCCACGGAGCAGCCCAACGCCTGGAGGGTGCCTGGGTCTCCCAGGGTAGGAGGGAGGCATTGGCTGCGGTCCAGGGGGGCAAAACCCCCATGCTGGTCCCTGGAGGGGCACGAGCTGTCCCCCGCTTAGCAGCCAGACCCATGCTGTGCTGGCAGCAAGGAAGGGAGCTCAGCGCAGCCCCACTCGCCTGCCAATGTCCTGCCCAGTCCCGCAGTGTACTGTGAAGCCTGGCAGGACGGGCTGCAGCGGGATGGCAGCCACTGGCCCTGGGGAGCACCCCTCTGTGCAGGCAGCATCACTGGGGGGGGGGCACAAGGCCGCCGGGGCAGGAGCGCGTTGTGGCTGAGACCCATCGTGGGGGGCCAGGGGGTCCCTGGGGGTCCCGAAGGACAAGGAGGGCAGCACGTGCAGTCAGGCAGAGCAGATGCAAAGAGGGCAAGGGAGAGCGGGGGGGGCAGCAGCAGTAGCACGTCGCACCCTGGGACCCACAGCCACTGCCAGCTGCCTCCCCTCTGCCCCACGGCGGGGTGACCCACAGCCACGACCAGGCAACGCAGCAACAGGCAGCGGCTACGGGACCCCGTGCACATCTACTTTTGCGCATGCAAAAATCAATCCCAAACAGCGTGCCACATTAGAAGCAGTGAGCAGGCTTACTTGTGCAAACTAGTGTCCAGGCAAGGTGGGGAGCAGGGAGGGGAAGAGCGGTGGGACAACTCAGGTCAGTTCAGTGCGCGAGAGCCAAGAAACACAATGAACCTGCACTAGGGGTTCCCAGGACAGGAGGTGACAGCAACTAAAACCCTGGTCACCCTTTGCCTCCTGCCTGCAGCAAGGCCACACGGAAGGAAAACCACAGGGACTCACCGGTGTGACACCTCTCTATTCTCGGGCACCATTTTGGGGTGACCTAGGCCTGACGAGGGCAACTTTGGGTGGAGACAACCCATTTCAGTCCATCTTGCTGCCCTGCATCTTGCAAGGGATGTTTTTGTCCCCCTCAGAACTGGGGGCCGGGTGCCCGGCATGCCCCTGCTCCACGTGCAGTACACAGTGCCATGCCAGCCCACATGTGGTGGGGCTGCGCCGGCCCCATGTCCCCCACAGATGCTGGCTGCACCGCCGGGAGAAGCCAGGTCTCAACTCCGTGCCACCGAGGCCCAGCTCCACCTCCTCAGCTTGGGCCAACCGGGAGCACGTGCTGGTGAAGCAGTGCCCGAGGGGGACCAAGCAGCCATTTAAGCCGTGAACCATGAGCACCTGTTGGCTTTCAGCCTCGCCGGCAGAGCCAGGGGTCACCACGCAGCCCCAGGTGCACCCCTCACGCTGTGCTGGCCTCGAGGACAGGCCCCCTGTATCACCCCACATTAAAGCCACCACACACCAGCCCCACAGAGAACAGCCACGGCCTCAGCATGATGGGCTCCGGCGCAGGTCTGGTCTGCGGGACCCTTGCCACTGTTCAGAACTGTTTTATGGGGGTGAACCCCCCCTCACCAGGTCCCACTCGTCCTCCGTGTGCTGCCCAGTGGGCACAGCCTGAGCAAAGTAAACAGGGACAGGCAGCTGGCCAGCCCTGCTTACTTCTGCTGCCCTCAGCCACATTACGCAGGATGCAGATGCTGGGGATGGGGACACGCACCCTGCATGAGGCGGGGGCTGAGCCCTGCCCTCGCTTCTTGGCCCCCCGAAGCACTGGCAGGCTGAGAGATGGGGGCAGTGTGTCACTGGGACACATCACGGTGGGGGGGATGTGGCACTGCAAGGACGCGTGCAGGGACAGGAACCATTTCCCTGCCACGGTGCTGTTCTTGCCGCACCCGACAGCTGCAGGATGGGGGCATGGGCATGCTTGCTCGCCCCCACCCTGCGGCACAGCCCCAGCAAGGCCTTACCGCCTCAAAGTTGGCCTGGTCATCCTTGGACACGTTGCTGGTCTCGCAGACGTCAGGTTCATTCCTGGCCTGGGGCACAAACGGGCTCCGGTGAAACCCCAGCTCTCCTCAGCTATTTATTATCTGCTTATGATCAAATACCACACAACTGCCCCAAACAGCTTCAGATTCCACCTCAGCCGACAGACACACGTGGCAGCTGCCTGCCCCCACACCCCCCACCTCCCCAGAGACTCCACATCCTATCTGAACATGCCTCATGTCCCCAGACATCCCACTTATTGCCCCCATCCCCCTGACCCCTCCAAATGCCAGATGCTCAGTCTCCCCAAATACCCCATTTACTGACCCAGAGACACCCAATCCCCTCAGACCACCCCCCCCCACT